AAAATTCGTTTTTCTGAAAAAGATAACATTATTGCCAGTATTTATAAGAACTGACTTTATTAATCAATAATATGTCCATCATCATTTTTTTTTACTAATGGTATCATTAAATATCCTATTTGAATCATTAGATTTATACCTGTTTTAGTTTGTTTTTTTTAATAAAAAGATAAATGTGCTTGATAGAAGTTTTCAACATAACATTAAAATTACGGTTGGTTAATTACTAAATATGTATCCTCAGTTTAAAGGGTGCAACTATACACCCAAGACATTGCTTATTAATAATTAATTTAAATTTTGTTTTAATGTGAAGAAATATTTTATGAAGCCTTGAATAGTTATGAAAGGAATCGTTATCATAGCACGTATACATCACCAATATTATGCTGTAAGTACAGTGAAAGGAATGATTCTGAGATCAGCTGCTTTGCCTATCACGGTGAACAGTATGATATTAGAGATAAAAATATGAATGGAAGATGGAGATCGAAACCAGCAGAAGGGAAATGGAAACCCCCCTAACCGTATCTAATAAAATGAATGAAATTTTAATAATTACAATGTTTTACATAAAAACAAAAATAAAATCTTCATATTGATTTCTAATTAAATTTTTTTTTTTTTTTTTTTTTAGGAGCGCCGACTTAAAAGGGCTAAGCTCTGTCGTAATACTTAGTGAAATACTAAAATTGGATAGATTGGATGATATTTTCTTATTTTTAATTTTTAAAACTGTTTCCTAATTTCAATTAATTATAAACTACTTATTCATTTACGATATTGTTTACTGTCGACATATATAAAAAAAAAAATTGTCTACGTTTCTAAGGATCTCCGATCCGCTGACAAAATAGTACTCCCCCATTACTCTGTGGGCCAGACCCCGTTAACGTGAAGCCCCCTCCCAACTTCCCAATAAATCCCTTTCCATCTTTCTTTGTGCAGAGAGAATAATGCATTCAATATTAAAATTTCCTATTTTTTTTATTATATGGTACTAATTCCGAACAATTTATTCCGCAATTTCTGAACAATAACGAGCTATGACTAATATAAGATTTTTTAAAAAATCTTTTGCAAATGCACTAAACAGAAGGAGAGCTATGAGCTATAACTTTCTCGTTATACCTCTCTATATCCTGTTTCAAAGTGAAGATAGTCCCGATGTCCACCTTCAGCAATCGAAAATAAAGTTGTTTTCACCATAATATAAACCTACGTCGTCCACTTAATATCATCCAAACTGCAATTGACTCCCTTTTAGCAGCATCTTGAAATATTTTGTTCATCTGTCAACTAAACATTCATTTAGCTATATAATGGATACTGGTCCTTTTTATCTTTTCCCAGGTTTTGGCACTTCCTTTCTCGTTCGCTTAATGTATTTTTTCAACAATCAGTTCTGGTTTATAGAAGAACTTATAGTTTCACCCTTTCTATCTTTCTTTGTGCAGAGATAATAATTCATTCAATATGAAAATTTCCTATTTATTTATGATATAGTCCAACATCCGCAAAAAATAAAGCAAATAAAAATTAATTTTTAAATTAGTGATATATGAGTTTTACTAAACAACCCGGTAGCTATTCATTATATATAGTTCAGATTAGGCATATATTATTTTAGTTTATAAAACAGGTATTAATATGACTCATTTCCTCGAAAGTATATAAAAATTTTAATTACCTCTAAGAATCAGTAAATATACAAAACTCAATGTTAAATAATAAAGTATTTTTTAATTATGTTTTATTATTATAATTATATCATTTTTACAATTGAGGTATTCTTATACGACCTACTTATAGAATAAAGGAGGTTAAATTAAAAAATAAAATAGTATTTTTTTTTTTAAATTTAATTTTGTTTTTACAATTAAATTATTTCATTAATATTTGTTCGTTAATAAAACCATTATATTTTAACAAAAATGTTATTATATCACTATAATTAAGCCATTAATGTGTACTGAATGGTGTGGTAGAGGCCAGTAGGCACCCATAAATTTTTTTAATTTTTTAAAAAAATAATCAGCATTATAGAAACATGAATATATTCTCCAGATGTTTTATTTCCGAACGTTTTGCGTTATTGTAGGCCGTTTAATTACAAACGACGCTTGATTTGTAACTTAAAAATATTTTGTTAAAAAATTGACTTTACTGTTATTTTTCATAACCTAAGCCAATTGTTTTTTTTATATTTCTTCATGTTTTATTATTCTATGACTATTCTGCTTTAATAAAAGACCAACTATGAGGAAATTAAACCAAATGCTGATTCTCAGTGACAAAAAAACTAACTAAAGTCAAAGCCGTCAATTCGCCATCTTTGGACGCCATTTTGGGGCAGTGCGTTCACTTTTTTTTGTGGGAACATAGGCTTTTTTTTAATAAATAGTTACAAGAAACACAACGATATGCAATTTATAGGGATGTGGGGGGGAGGGTGCACGGTAAGGGGGTCTGGCCCACCGTGTACATATTTTTCAGCCACAGCGACCAACCTTGCAGCTGGTAACAAACGTCATATCGTAGCGTTATTTATATATTTTTTTTGAAGTGGTTAATTGCAAATACCATCTTTTCACTATACAATTAGTAATAATCGATAGGTTATCTTTTTAGAAATATTTTCTGAGCAATCTTCAACATTTTTCTCCATTATTTTTTATTTACATGTAATTAAAATTAAATTATAAAACCGATAATTTTGTATTCAAAGTTTCTAATCACTAGTGATGTGCCTATTTTTCTTGTTTTATAGTTTCAGATTGTCAGATTATAAAGCAGTTTCCTGCAGATCGTAAAGCATTGCCCGAAGAATTGCAGTGTAAAGATTATACCATTTTTCGCATTTTCATTTCACGATAATTTTCACTGAGAAACTAAGGCACAATATATGGCCACAATTAAGATGCCCAAAAACATGCTTAAAAGGCTCCAAAGAAGCTAGAAATCAATATAGGATGGGATGTCGCTGGGTACTCCTTTCTCTACGCCTTTCAACGTCTTTATATAATACTTGAATATATCCTCAATTACGTTAAGGTTGCAGAATCCTGGTACAGACACTTATTTTTTGTTTTTCACAGTATTTAAATTTTAAAACTTAAGCAAAATAGTTAATAACAATTTTTTATAACATAAAATGAATGTCCTGGGATATTGACTTTAATTCCTATATATAACATGCTGAATCAAATAAACCTTTTCAAAACGAGAACATTTTTTTTTTTTTTGTATTGAACTAAAAAAATTAAATAAAAAGCAAATTGACTAGTTACGTGGCAATTTTGAACCCTTAGTATGTCACTTTGTGACATGCATATCTTGGGTTGGAGACTCCATACATGGACAATTTCTGAATCATAATAAATAATGATAAATAAACTCTCATAAATAGCTATTTTAATTTAAATTTGCGTCGCAGTCATAGTGTATTATTATTATTTTATAACTTTGAACCATTAGATTTCTACTTGTTTTAACTGAATCCATTGGCCATAGTCCATGGTTGATTGTTGCGATATGAGGCAAGTTCTGATATTCCTTACATATGTCAATATCTGCCTATGGTATCAATTTGGTGTAATATCAAGTAAAAAAATCGATATTGCCAATATCAACTGATATTAATATTGAAGGAAATTTCCGTAGGGTTACTGAATATATTATCAATTAAATATTAAAATTAATTGAATTTTTTTTTTTATGTTAGATGAATTTTATTATAATATACATATTCTTGGCTCACAATAAATTTGCCATCTGCCTCGGTATCCAGCAAATATGATATCAAGGAGAAGAAATGATACCATAAAGAAACAAAGAATAGTAATAACATAATGTTATGTGGAAATTTTTTCGAATACTTTAGATAGAGAAAGTAGAAGACTAAGTGGGCGGTAAGAATCAGGACGGTCTACAGGCTTATTGTGTTTGTGAATCATAGTTATGATTGAGTATTTCCATAAAATCGGAAAATGTGTCGTTCTAAGAATGGAATTGAATATATTTGTTAAGAATATAATGGCCTTTTTTGGTAAATTCTTTAGAATATAGTTAGTAATGAGATCGAACCCTGGTGATTTTCGATTAGGCAAACTATTTATAATAATGCTAACTTCGTTTGGATGAAATGGTTTAGGCGAGAGGGTCATCTAAAGGAATATATAATTGATGTTCTATCAGTTATGCATTGTAAGGGGTAAATATATTTTCTAAGTGGCATGCGAATAATTCAGCTTTCTGAGCGTCTGACTTTGCCCACGAGCCATCAGGATATCGAATTGGATGCAATGTCTCTTGATGATTCAACAAGAGTTTTGTCTTCCGTCAAATAGACGTTATCCAAGCTATTTAGGAGGGTATTAAAATTTTCATTTTTAAATCGCCTAATTTCTTCTCGCAATTCCGTTGTTAGCTGATTAAATTTGGACTTATCTGAATTATAACGAGTGCGCTGCCACTTCTTACGAGCTTTTCTTTTCTCTTGTAAGAGATATTTAATTGAATCTGGGATGCCATTTTTCATATATCTTACCCTGGACTGTTTTAATGGACATAAGGAAGAATTCCAAGCCGCTTGTTGTATAGCTTACGTTAGCGATTGGACTGCATCGTCTACCTCATCTGGGGTCCGCAAGAGGGTGTTCAACGAGATAGATTTTTCTAACGTATCCCTAAAGTTTTTCCAATTAATTTGACCTGGGGTAAGCGTCGGTTGTGGAGATTTTATAAACTTTTTGAGTGAACAGTGGAGGTTAAGGTTAACTTTGTGGTTTTCACGAAGCTTTAATCTAACCAAAAGGACGTTTAGAGACTATTACGTTGGTGAAGCACTAAGGTAAGTTCATATTAAAGTCTTACTTTTGAAGATAGGAAATTTATAAGTTTCCCGAACGTAGGTTAGATTTTGAGTGTTGAATATTTCCTTCTACTGTTGTTCACCCATTATTTCAACGTATAAAGTTGTTAATTTTGGATTGCGTAAGATGGCTGATGAAATTGCATCAGCAATGGAGCAGGAAATGGTGGAAGAACAGGCTATAAAGTGCCCAAGGCCTTCAGCAAAGAGGCAAAGGAAAGGATCTCCTGACGCCCGAGAAGAAACAGATAAAGAACGTGTAGACGATAGTCTTCTGCAAGATGCACGTAGAATCAAAGAAAACATCAGGGTCTACATGAACGCAACAGACAGGAACGTGAGTGCGAAGGTACAAAAGCACGTTAATGGGAAAATTCAGCAGTTAATAGATATAATGGAGACAATATATGATAAGAACTATGAAAAATCGTTTTTAGTACAACGTGTGGTAAAGGACACATTAGCTTCCTCTGAAATGTATGATATCATAGTAAATGCATTAGTGGAAAAAGCAGTACCTATGGTTATCGAGGGACTCAAGTCGGAAAGTAAAACCATACAAAGACCACTGTCAGAACCTCAGACATCTCGGGAGTTTCCATGCGTTAAAGAACAACCGCTATTAGCCGATGCCCACGCTATTATTGAGACCACGGAGAATGAACGTTTCCAGGAAGTAAAGAAAAAGCAAAGAAGGAAAAAGGCTCTTCCACAAGTGGCCAAAGAGATCGAGGCCTCTAAACCAATAGCAGAGGAAAGTTTGACCAAGAAAAGGTCTACACATCAGACTACGATGGCCGATATTGTTAAAGGGCTTCCATTAAAACCGATGGATAATACAAGACCAACTTATGTTACCATCGCTTCTCAAGGTAAAAGTGCAGCTGACATCATCAACAATCTGCCTTCTCCAACTGAACTAGGAGTCAAGGCGAGAGTTGTACGGGCGACCAAAGCTGGCTCAGTTTTAGTTTGTGTAGATGAGGGTGCCCATGCGAAAAAAATAATTGAATGGCAAAAATTAAAAGAAGTTGGGATGGAGGCAAAACTAGCCTTAAAAAGAAAACCAAAAGTGGAGGTAAAAGGAGTTCCCCTTTCATGGAGTGCGGAAAATCTAGAAAGGGTGCTATGGGAAAGGTTGGCTGCAAAATCGGCCGTTATTTCTGAGAACCAATTAGGTAATATAAAGCCATTGTTCTCATCAATGGCTAGAAATAAAATTACCAATAATTGGGTGTTAGAAGTACATCCAATGGTAAGATATAATCTACTCAAGGAGGAAATAATTACAGGAGGTTGGTGGTCACTGACAATCTTAGATTACCCCGATGCTCCTCCCTGTCTAAGGTGTCAGGGATATGGACATACAAAAGCTACTTGTGAGGCAAATGGCATAGTATGCAAGTGGTGTGCGGCGAGTGGGCATATTGCTAAAAACTGTCCCGCAAAAGGAAATAAGACCGCACCTACATGCGTTAACTGCGTGAGGGAAGGTGTTCAAAAAAGTAAGGCTAAACCCCAGGCAGGAAGTAGAGAATGCCCAGTGCACATCAAGAGATCTCAAGAATTAGTGAGGAGAACTCACTATGATTAGACTCAACATCCTGCAGTTGAATATGGGCCGCCGGCATATTGTGGCTGACGAGCTTCGCGCCATGGCACAACGCTACGATATCATGGCGGTCCAGGAACCTAGCTGCCGTGGGAACAGGGTTACGGGGTTTGGCCTCACGTCAAGAGTTATAGCCCTGAGCAGTGGAGAGAGGAGGCCCAGGGCTGCAATAGTGATTAATAATCCTAACCTTGACGTGATGGATCTGAGACAACACACCATGGCGGATTATGCATCTTACTATGTTAAGTGGGGCAAGATTTCTTTCACATTGGTATCGGCATACCTACCTGTGAATAGTGATGTAGAAGAAAGCATATCCGCTATGGAGGCGATCATTAGAGAGATGAGGAATGTGATCATGTGCTCAGATACCAACTCCTGGAACACGGTCTGGGGGTCCAATATTACTGACAGGCGAGGCGCTAAAATGGGAAATTTCATAGGCAGAAATCACCTTGTCGTGATGAACGAACCCTCTGCCACCCCTACCTTCTCTGGAGGCATGGGGCAGAGTTGGATTGCCGTCACGATCGCCACGCCTGCGCGTACGAGGTATATTGCTGATTGGACTCTCAGATCTGATACGAGTTCCGATCACGTTGCGATAGCAATTGGCCTGGTAAATGAGCCAGGATGTTCCCACGGTACTGATAAGGGTTTCGTCACTAAAATAAATGACTGGAGTGTCTTCAGGTCCTACCTGGAAGGAGTGATTGCAGACGAGGAGTGGGAAGCGGCAGAGATGGATGTAGTTGACAATCTGGACTACAAGGTGTCCAGGATTACCAACAACATTCGTGATGCTGCCGAACACTCCCTCAAGCACCGGAAGGCGAGGGTTCGACCTGTCCCATGGTGGACGCCAGCCTTAACTGTTCTAAAACGAGACCTCTACAAGGCCCGGCGGTCATATCAGAGGTGCAGATGCGAAGAGAGGCGCACTGTACTTCGCAATGAGTACAAGTCAAAAGCCAGGATATACCGAAACGAGGTTCGCTCACAAAAGCGGAAGTCTTGGGATGATTTCATCATTGAAGAGTCTTTGAAGAATCCCTGGGGTATTCCGTATAGGGTAGCATTGGGTAAGTTGTCCCCGATGCAGACTATTGCAGCCTTGCGGTATCATAATACTGAGGCAACCACCCTTGAAGAAACTGCCAATGTTTTCATTGAAGCAATATATCTCAGAGATGACCCAACCCAGGACAGCGAAAATGATGATTTTGTGAGACGCACCACGGTATATCCACCTGGTTCAGATTTGTGCCCACCATGGGACATTCAAGATCTTCGTATTGCCGTGGATAAGCAGAAGACTAATCGTGCTCCAGGACTTGATGCAATAGATGCAGCGATCTTGAGGAACAGTATCACGTATATTGAAGACCGGCTGTTGAGTATTTTCAATGAATGTCTGGATATGGGATACTTTCCAAGAAGATGGAAGATCGCTGATTTGAGACTACTCTACAAGGGAGGAGATAGGGACAAACAACTCCCTAATTCATATAGACCTATATGTCTCCTCCCTGTGATTAGCAAGGTCCTGGAGAACCTCATGATGATTAGTTTACGGCCTGTTTTCGCTAGAGCAAGTCATCCACGGCAATATGGATCAACCAGAGGCAGAGGAACCGCTGATGCCCTGCTGAGAGTGCGCAGAGATGTTGAGGAGAGGGCGGAGCGGTATGTCATGTTGCTTCTTTTCGATATATCCTCCGCCTTTGACAGCGTATGGTGGCCTAGCGTGCTCCAGCAGCTGCAGAGGTATGATGCTCCTAGTAACTTATACACATTAGTAAGAAGTTATCTCCAGGATAGAAGTGTCAAGATTAGAGGCAATTACTACGAGGTAGAAGCTTCCATAGAGAGAGGTTGCCCTCAGGGATCGGTGCTTGGTCCTGCTCTATGGAAGCTCGTCTTTGATGAGTTACTGGGAGTGTTAGAGGAGGAGCGGTTTCCTGCCACTGCTTACGTTGACGACCTAGCTGCTGTGGTGGCCTCCAACAGCAGAGCTGGAGTCAAGAGAGAAGCAGAGCGATGCGCCAGCCTAGTCGCTAGATGGTGTGAGGGGAAGAAGATGAGGATGGCTGCTGCTAAGACTCAAGCCATCCTCCTTAAGGGAAAGACTGATAGGGCACACCCTATAACGATGTACATAGAAGGTCAGAGGATACGTCCAAGTGAGGTGGTAACCTACCTAGGGGTTAGGTTAGGTGTAGGCCTCAATATGACGCCTCATTTGGAATATCTGGCAGGTAGGGTGGCCCTAGCAATGAACGGTCGTGTGGGGGGCGCATTTTGGGGCCTTAGGTATCCAGCCACTATCACTATTTATAAGGGTGTTGTGGAGGGTATCCTTAGGTATGCGTCTCCCTTCTGGTTCCGAAATCTCACACTCAGACAAAGAAATAGGCTAGCATCGACTCAGAGAACTGCTCTGCTTCGGGTCACCAGAGCATATAGGTCTACGTCGCATGAAGCAGTGCAGGTCTTAGCGGGGGTGGTGCCTCTCGACCTCCTCCTGCGAGAAGAAGTGACCAGGTATGACTACAAGAAGGAGGGCTCAACTAGTCTATCGGAGAACCTACGGATGAGGATTATTGAAAACCCAAATAAATGGAAAAAGATTATCCGGGAGGAAACAATTGAAGATTGGAGCAGACGGTGGGTGACGACTCCGAAAGGCAGTACCTTAAGAAAATACTTTCCCACCGTTGAATCTCGGTTACAGGCGAAATGGGTCCTCCCGGACTATTGGGTTTCACAATTTCTCACGGGACATGGGGGTTTCAGAGCTAAACTCCATGGCTACGGACAGGATATAGATCCCCACTGTCCCGATTGTGGTGTTCCGGAGACTGTTGAGCATGTGGTCACGGCCTGCACTGCTTTCGACGAATTAAGAGCGAGGTTAATGAGAACCACGGGGATTTACGTCCTCACTGAGGAGGAGTTTCCTCAGTTGGTGAGTGAAGAAAACTTCCCGCGGTTCAAAGAGTTTATAAATGGCTGGAAGACGGCGGTGGGCCCAGCTCACTTCAACCTAGGTGCACGCAGAAGGAGAAGAGGACCAGTCCCAGGAAGACCTCCGGATTCGGGAAGCCAGGCCTAAAGGAGCCAGGAAAAAGTAGAAGAGCTAGCTGTGTGCACAGCTTAGAATTTTGTAAACTGATATTATGGCAGTAGTGTGTTATTATGCATTAATGCTTAACATCACACTACTGCATACACCCGTGTTGCCCTGGTGGCATGGGAGGGTGGAAAACAAATAAAAAAATAAAATTTTCGATGTCAAAGCAGCTGGTTGAGCCCTTTACTAATAAAGAAATCTAAAACATCAGGAATTCTATTAAGATCAGTAGGCCAGTATGCTGGTGAAGGAGGTGAAACATGCGAGCAACTGCTGGAGATCATAGCGTTGTGAAGGGTCCTACCTCGGGAATTAGTCATTCTGCTGCCCCATATTTGGTTTCTAAAATTAAAGTCACAAACGCATAGGAATCTATGACCTAAATTATAAAAAAAAGTATTAAAGGATTGAGAATACAAGGTTTTATTAGGTGGGCAATAGACAGCAGCGTCAGACAACTCAAAGGGAAAACCTTTAGAACAACGGAGGTACTCTGCAGACACACTTGCCTCAGAAGAGTTAAAGTAGTGACTAATAGACTTTTTAACTAGAATGAGTGTAACGCCTTTAGCACAGTTTGATGGATGATCAGTCCTGAAAGTGTTGTAAGTTGGTATTGAAAATTTAATTTGGCTTCTCAAGTGTGTTTCGGTCAAGAGTGCTACGTCTATTTCCTTGTCACTAAGAAATTCTTCTAGCTCATTTATGTGCGCAAGTACGCCATTTGAGTTCCATAGAAGAATTTTAAACTTTTCATGACGTAAGCTTGGGCAGGAGGTGCTGCATTAGGGTGGTAAGTAATGAAATTAGTGGAGTCACAAGGTTTTTAAATTCATTAATGAAGTGAGTAAGTTGTGTTGTGATGTCAGGTTGTTTTGTGTTATGGGAAACAGCATTGGTTAATGATCTATTTTCAG